ATCTTCTTCAGTAATTAGACATTGAGAATACATGAAGCCAACCTCAGTTCTTGGCTGGTATACATTTTCCTTTCTGTTACACAAGCAGACGCAGATTAAGACAGAGCGTTCAGGAGACATTGCAGGTGGAGCATCACTTTTAACAAATGCAAAGAAGCCCTTCTATTGATGCCTCAGTTTCTTTACTCAAGAGGAAATGATGGTTAGTGCTCATTCTGGCACAACACAGGTGGACAAAGCCAAGGGGTTCATGCAGATCTGGGGCAAACATAAATATTGACCACAGTATCTTCTTGACCCATCTCTCTGGAATGGGATTTGGGATGACTGTTTTATGGTAGCTCCATTCCTTCCTGGAGAACAGAACTCAGAAGGTGGTGATGGGGAACTCCTGTTCAAAACCCTGGCTGCCTACCTATGGGGTCCCTCAGGGTTCTGTTTTGTCTCCTATGTTATTTAACATCTACATGAAACCACTGGGAGAGAATATCCAGAGTTTTGGAGTTCAGTGTCACAAATATGCCAATGACACCCAACTCTACCTCTCCTTGCCACCTAAATCCAAGGAAGCTATTTTGGCTCTTTATCAGGTATCAGTACTGGGTGAGGGTGAATAAATTGAAACTTAACCCAGACAAGACAGAGGTGCTCCAGGTCAGTTGAAAGGTAGATCAAGGAATAGGGATGCAGTTGGTACTGGATGGGATTACATTCCCATTGAAAAAACAGCTGTGCAGCTTGGGGGTTGCTCCAGGATTCATTCCTGAACCTGGATGCCCAGGTCTCAGCGGTGGCCAGGAGTGCATTTGCATAATTAAAACTAGTGTGCCAGCTATGTCTGTTTTTTGAGCGATCTGATCTGGCCATTGTGATACACCTAGAGTGGTCTTAACCGACTAGATAGGCGGGATATAAATCGAATAAATAAATAAAATAAATAAACAAATGCACGCCCTAGTTACTTCACGGGTGGATTACTGTAATGGGACTGCTGATGGAAAGTGTCAGAAAACTTCAGCAGGTCCAAAATGCAGCAGCCAGATTACTGATTGGGGCCGGTTACATGGATCACATAATTCCACTGTTGTAGCAGTTCCATTGGCTGCCGATCAGTTTCAGGGCACAATTTAATGTTCTGGTTTTAACCTATAAAGCTCTAAATGGCCTGGGTCCAAGCTATCTCAAAGACTGTGTCTCCTATTATGAGCTGGCTCAAGTGTTAAGATCACCAGGAGAGGCCTTTCTCTCAGTTTTACCACCTTCACAGATGTATCTGAAGAGGACACAGGACAGAGCCTTCTCTGTTACTGCTCCCAGACTTTAGAACTCCCTCCCACAGAAGGTAAAGGTAACGATTCCCTTTGACAAATGTCCAGTTATGTCTGACTGTAGGGGGTGGTGCTCATCCCCGTTTCCAAGCCATAGAGCCAGTGTTTGTCTGAATACAGTTTCTGTGGTCACGTGGCCAGCGTGACTAGACATGGAACACCGTTACCTTCCCACCGTGGTGGTACCTATTTATCTACTTGCATTTTTACATGCTTTCGAACTGCTAGGTTGGCAGGAGCTGGGACAAGTGATGGGAGCTCATTCCGTTACGTGGATTCAATCTTACGAATGCTGTTCTTCTGACATTGCAGCACAGAGGCTTCTGCGGTTTAACCCACAGCGCCACCATGTCCCACAGAAGACCCGGCCCCATTATTCCACTGTCTGCAAGGCAGAAGTGGGTGGATATGCAGGTTTGTAAAACCCTCAAAGTGGCAATTTTGAGGAAGGCATTTTGCCACTGTCTCCCCAATGGGCTGCCAAGAAGCCCTTTTGCTTCAGCCACAATCCCTTTCACAGGCATAGCTTTGTCTCTTGGCTTGGCAGACTGAATGCAGAAAGCTAGAGTACACCGGTCATGTAATGAAAAAAAAGGAAAAGGACAGGTAGTTATGTTGCTCCTTCAAGGTAGGAGGAAATGACCAAAGCCCACCTCTGGCAGGAGAGAAACCCGGAGGCCTGCTGTCTTCCGTCAAGGCGCACTGCTTGGATGTGGAGTTTCTGATCTACCTCGGGCTGATCTTCGCGGTGGGAGGGAAAGTGCAGCCAAACCTGCGCTCTCTTCCTTTGCTCTGGAAGCCACTCGGGCCATACCTGCGGCAGGGCTGCCCTCTAGCGAGCACTCCCCGGCTCTGACCAGGGCGGCCTCTAACACAGCCTTCCTTTCCTCGCGTAACCTGACGACGACTGCTGTGCAAGTGGAAAGCTTGCGCGTGAGCACCAGCCACCCTCGTCGAGGTCGAGGCTGCGGAGGGAGGCCAGGCTTCTCTCGGGGCCCCTTCCGCCTTCGCTTGGCTTCCTCTGTTCTTCCGCTTGCCACGAAGGAAAGGCGTGTGTGTGTGTGCGTGTGTGTGTGTGCCGCGGGCGGGGGCGGGCGGGCTTGCCAAGCAGCCGGCCAACAAAGTCGCCTCCCTCCCCCGGCGCTCTTCCGGAGGGGCCTTGCTTAGTCGGCAGGCAGCCGAACGCCAAGGACCAGCCCCTGAGCGCCTGGCCGGTCTCCTCTCTCGCGCTCCTGCCGCTGTCGCTGCCGCGGCGGCCCCTCCCCGCTCCCGTCCTTGCCTCCCACCCGCGAGGGAGCGCACCGGCGCTGCAGCTACTGGGCATGCTCCGAGGAGGACCGAGGGGTCGCCGCTCGCCGCGCTCCTGGGCAAGCCGGTGCCTGAGAACCGGGACGGCGCGGGCTCGGCTGCCGGCGATGGAGGCTTGAGGCGCCGCGATGGAAGCGCGGGGAGAAGCCGGCGGGAGGAGGCACCGACCTGAGAGGTGCCAGGGGATGCCCAGAGCAGTCCGGTGGCGCCGGCGCGGCTTCGGGACAGCTCCCGCCGCCTGATTTCCTCCTCCCGCCGCCGCCGCCGATCCTTGCCTACCTAGAGTTGCGGCTGGCGGAGTCCTGGGGCCGGAGCAGGCGCAGGCAGGGTAATGTGGGGACAGGCAGGCGAGGCGCGGTGCCCCGCCGGGGGAGGCGTGCCCGGGGGAGAAGAAGAAGAGGCGAGAGGCTCCCTGCCCGGCCCCGCCCGGGACGGCCAGAGGCAAGGGAGGGGGCTTGGCGGGAAGGTCCTGGCGCGCGAGCACGAGTGGTGAGCGGGCAGAGTCCGGGCGCCCCTGCCCTCTCCCTTCCGCCTGCCTCGGGGATGGAGGCGCTCCCTCGCCCAGCCTGCTCCGGCGGAGCTGACCGGAGGGCCCCAGCGTCGCCCTAGCTTCCCTCGCCTCGCCCCTGGCCTCGGCGATGGAACTGTCCCGGAACACCAGCGCAGCCCCGCACAACGGGTCCCTCTCGGTGCTCTTCTCTGCCTCGCCGCCCTCCTTCGCGCCCGCCGCCGCCGCCTACTCCCCGGCCGCCGTGGCCTGCTTGGCTGCCGTGGTGGGCTTCCTGATCGTCTTCACCATCGTCGGCAACGTGCTCGTGGTGATCGCCGTCCTGACCAGCGGGGCCCTGCGAGCGCCGCAGAACCTCTTCCTCGTGTCGCTGGCCAGCGCCGACATCTTGGTGGCCGCCTTGGTCATGCCCTTCTCCTTGGCCAACGAGCTCATGGAGGACTGGTACTTCGGCAAGGCCTGGTGCAACATCTACCTGGCCCTGGATGTCTTGTTCTGCACTTCCTCCATCGTGCACCTGTGCGCCATCAGCCTGGACCGCTACTGGTCTGTCACCCAGGCGGTGGAGTACAACCACAAGCGGACCCCCAGGCGGATCAAGGGGATCATCCTGCTCGTCTGGCTGATCTCCGCCGTCATCTCCTCCCCGCCTTTGATCTCCAAATATTGGGAGCCCGAAGGGGAGCCTCCCTCCAGGTGCAAGCTGAACGACGAGACTTGGTACATCCTGTCCTCCTGCATCGGCTCCTTCTTCGCCCCCTGCGTCATCATGGTGCTGGTCTACATCCGCATCTACCGCGTGGCCAAGTTAAGGACCAGGACCCTTTCTGAGAAGCGGCCCCCGCCCGAGGGCTCCTCCGTCCGGTTGGAGAACGGCTTGAATCGCGCCGAGAGGGGCTTCACATCCCCGACGACCGGGCGAGGGGAAAACGGCGCCTCGGCGGGCCAGCGCTGGTGGCCGGCCGTGGAGCTGGAGGACGTGGAGCTGG